AATGTACTGAATAAGAAAGAATGCTACATTGCCTCTTCATGACTATCGCATTTGAGATGATAGAGGAATAACAGTGAATGCGAAGCTGGATGTTTTCAGTTCGAAGATACCAATGGGTATGTGCATTGCTTGTGTGCTTCTGTAGTGAAATGGAAACTCACTATTCTCTCTGATCTCCCAGCATATTTTGATGGTGATTACAATGTTTTTGTTGTTTTTTGTTGGTCTTTGGGGATTTCTTTGTGAGTTTCTTGAAATTATTTTGGGTTCAGTGGGTTGGACTATTTTTTTGCTCTGAGGACAGCTTTTCCAGATTTCCTGATTTTAAAGCTGAAAATCTGAAAGAAATTTAAACCTTTAAAATTATTGCAGGAAAATGTGAGAACTTCAACTGAAAAAACCCCACCCTGCTATATTAAAAATAGGAATTCAGTTGTGACTTGCCCCAGTTTACATTTTTAAAAATAATCTCTTGAAATGCTTGGTTTCTCTGGGCTGTTCCTTCCAGCGTCTGTCTTTTTCAAAGAGAAAACAGAAACATCTTTAACATACAGTGTCTGAAGTGTTTCCTATTTGTAGGATGATAATGCTCAAATATGTTGTTGTCAGTATTATATATATTTTTTTCGGATTTAGTCTTCAGATTCTTTTAAACACCAAGGTGTTTATGCCAAAATATTTGTTATTTAGAACTCCTTACTTAAAACTTGGTAAGTTAAGTTACACTAAAAAATCAGTAGATGCCATACTAGTCACAGAAGCAGATAATTCTCAAGTTTTACTAATTCTGAATTCAGTGGTGGGTTTACTGTCATAATTTTCCATTACCTTGATGCAAGAGAATGACACAGTCTCCTTTTGTGTGTTTTTAGATGGCATACTTCAAATTTAAGATACATGAGAAGAAAGAAGTTAGGCTATGTCGTATTTATTCAGTTGCATGTTTCTGTCTATTTTACCTGTCCATTGTATTATACTGCATTTAATTGGTGATTTTTTTAGGTGTATGTATATTGATTCTGATCATGTTGACTGTGTGCTAGAAGAACTGTATGTTATTGATTCCTTCTTTTATATATAGTTCCAGCTATTTATTTGAGCAAATTTGTAGCATTCTAAAAACACAGTCACACTGTAACCTGTAATATTACATTCAGGAAGATTACATTATAAAGGTGTACGATAATTGGTTTGTAGTCAATGCATAATTTAATGTATAGAATTTGATGGAAGAAATAGTTGTTTTAGCACATCAGCATTGTTTTTATGAATTTAGAAATATATAGAGGAATCTTTTTATCTTCCTATGAACACATTAGCCAAAGTTTACTGACAGTAAAAGGAAAGGAAAATGTTGCTGTTATCTATCTGTATCTATGCCATAGATTGTATTCATTTTTGTTCTTGTCTTCAAGAGAATTAACTGCTTTTGTCAGTGGTCAAACATCAATGGAAGGTTTTTGGTGTTTTCACACTATTACTTAGTAGCAGTCAAGTTTTGGAGTGAGTGTAAATTAATTTTGTTTGCTAGCTAGTTCTTCCCTCTGAGAATGACCTCACCTTTTTATACATGTTTTTCTAATTCTTTAGCATAATCTAAGATAGTGTCATTTAAATAGCGACCCCTGACCTGAGTCTGATGTTTAGGATGCTATAACCCAGTCCATGGAAGAGATGAGATAGGAGTCACTTTTCATTGCCAACAGCTGCCGCCTCTTCCAGATTCCCTCTTGTTCTTTCTGGCCAGGTGTTATGGCCTATGACTATTTAATTCTTATTTATAGAATTTTCTAAAATAAGTAACTAAATTCTTCAGGTAACTTGTGGATTAAAATCAGATGAGTTCCCTAAGGTGGCTCCCTGTCCACCTTCGGAATACCTAATGCTAGCAGGAGAGAAGGGGGAAAGAGAGAGCAGATCTTCCCCCTTCATCACCAGCATGGATTTATTTTCTGTTTATACTGAGTCTGGATGGGTTAGAGTGAACTTTCTTCTTAATAGCCTGTTACGGGGCTGTGTTTTGGATTTTTGACTAATGCTGTTGATAACACACTGGTGTGTTGGCTGTTGCTCAGTAGCACTTGCACAGTGTCAAGGCTTTCTGTTTTTCTCCATTCTGGACCCCCTGTGAGTAGGCTGGGGTGGGCAAGAAGTTGGGAGGGGACATGACTGGGACAGCTGGCCCAGATTGGCTGCAGGGGTATTCCATGCCATATAACATAAAATAATAATAATAAAAAAAAAAAAAGCAATGAACAACTGAGTAGGGCAGAAGAGTGTGTGTGGTGGTCTGGAAGGTAGCTATTGCTCGGAGACTGACTGGGCATCGATCTGCTTGTGGGAGGTAGTGAGTGGTGAAAAACATCTCTTGGCGTTTTTTCCTCTTTTCTTCACTAAGTAAGCTGTCTTCATCTGGACCCATGTGTTTCCTTGTTTCTCCTTTTCTCTCCATGTCTCTTGCCATTGCGGGGTGTGTGAGTGAGCAAGGGGCTGTGAGGTACTTAGCTTCTGCCTGGGGTTAACCCACCACAGAGTTCTTAAACGCTCAAACATTTCGTTCTGTATATTTGCAATGATTCAACTCTGAGTATGGTCCCAGAAGAAACTGCTCAAATGTTTGTAACTTTGACATGATCTTAGCGTTATTTTTGGTATTTCACCTCTCCTAGGCTGGATCTTGAAAAGGGATCTTTTCTACCTGGTGAATGAGGGGAACATAATTTATCAGGAGAGCTAGGAGTGAATTGGAGTGGACAAATAACGCTCTAAAAAGTTGCATTGATCAGCTTTAACTTTCAAATATAAGAAACTTCTTACTTGGTCTACCTTAAGCAAGGATTATGTTGCACTTAAACACTTTGCTGACTTTATGCTTCGCTGCCAATACTTAGTGGTACATAAGCCAGACAGGTGATTTGATCAGCTGAAAGCTTCACAGCCTCTCCTAACTTCAGTCAGTTATTTTTTGGGAAGTTGCAGTTTTCACTTAAAGTAGTTCTGTAGCTAGTTTATCATATGCTATATGAATCATAGAATTATAGAGTCATTTAGGTTGAAAAAGACCTTTAAGATCATTGAGTCCAACCATAACCTGGCACTGCCAAGGCCACCACTAAACCATGTCCCTAAGCACCACATCTACACGTCTTTTAAGTATCTCCAGGGATGGTGACTCAGCCACTTCCCTAGGCAGCCTGTTCTAATGGGAATTGCTGTTCCAGTTTCTTTTGATGAAGAAATTTTTCCTCATATCCAATCTAAACCTCCCCTGGCACATCTTGAGGCCATTTCTTCTTGTCCTATTGCTTGTTACTTGGGAGAATTGCAGTGGTAGCAGAAGGACGCAAGGGAAAAGGCAGAAAAATTATTCCATTTAATCGGGTATGGATGAAAAGAGCAGCCTAATATACTGGCCTGGAGCGGTGGAATACTAAGCTACTTATGCCAGTGGAAGAAACATCCTTTTGCATGTTAGGTTTGTCAATAAACTGTGAGTAACAGATTTATGACTATCTGTAGCTTCAGAAAGTGGTTTTATGGTACTTCGGAATTGGTCTATCCAGTAAGCTAATAATGACAAGCGAATGTCCCTTCCTCATCCCCATGCTTTAGTTGTGTGCGCTCCTGATGCTTTGTGCCAGTGTCGATACAGCTGAGGACTGAGCCGATGCAGATTCAGCAGAAATGAATGTTTTCTGATGTTATATCACAAAATCACCAGCTGTCTGTGCAGAAAAGCTACAGGAATGTATGACTAAGGATTTGGGGAATAGGGGAATACTGCTGTCTAGCAGTACTGCTCTTTTCAGTAAGGCTGTGGTGGTTTGCCATTACATTAGCTCAGACATTTTGCAAAATCCTCCTTTTAGTCAGTCCTCCATTTCCTGGGTGTGTATGACGACTGAGATGATCTGAAGAAGAGTATTGGGTTCTGCACTTCTGGAATGCATCTGGTTACATCAGTCTGGCTTCTCAGAAGGGCATGGTGTTATTCCATGATTTAGTTCTGTTTTCAGGAACTGCTGCTAATTCTCCTCTGCACTGCCATAATTACTAGGAATTTTAATGGTCTGTTTGGGTGAGGACCATAGCTAAGCAGTAGTTCATTAACTGTTTTCCTTGCACCTTTTTTCCTTTTCTTGCTCTGGATGCAGTGCAAGAGCCTTACTTGATTTGTGCAGTAATCCATCTGTTCTTCCCTCTGTTCTGATCTCGTCATATTTCATGTAATACCACTGTGTCTTTCAGCCTGTTAAATAGGAGATGGAAGCTTAAGGGGAAGTGATCCTCATCAATCTCATGCCTAAGTATTTTGTTGATGTAACATGACAGATCAGATTATTGGAGAAAAACCACCTTACAACAGTATGTGTTTCTGTTCAGTTCAAAATAAAAGATTTTTCATGAGGTGTATGTTACAGCCCTTAAAGCTTTAAGAGATCACAAGATGTGTTAGTACAGCACAGCAAAAATTAAGGAATTCTCTCTCTTCCTGTACTAACTTTATGAGCCTTGTCGTCACTGCGATAAGTAGCTCCAGTTAATGTGCTCGCACAGAGGCCATACTAGAGAGGATGATTAGCAGAGGAAATGTTTAGAGTTTAATTAGATGTCACTCAGGGTTCTGCCTGTTACAGGAATAAGGTAAAAACTCAGCTAGACTTGAGTAATCCAGGTAAGAATCCTTATTTACTAGTTATTGAGCAGAACGTATGTTAATAGTTTTTCACAGGTACTACTTTGGAATGTTACTTTCTGAAGGGCAATAAATAGTTACTCAGTCTTATCTTCAGACTTTAAAATAAATAAAATACAACTTGTCATGTATCTTTAACTTCTGTCTTTGGTGTTGAGTTCATAGTAATTGACTTCATAATATTCTTAAGTATAGTGAAGACTATAATATCAATCAGAAAACATAAGCATAGAGATTAAATTGAATGTAGACTTTGAGCGGTAGTGGACTCGGTGTAACTTTTGCTGTCGTATTCTGCTTGTAGGTAAAAAGAACATACTCTCATGGTACGTATAGAGCTGGCCCAATGAGACAGATCAGCCTGGTTGGAGCAGTTGATGAGGAAGTGGGGGATTACTTCCCTGAATTCCTTGATATGTTGGAAGAATCACCCTTCTTAAAAGTAAGGACAGAAGGGAATGGGTTGGGAGAAGGGGGACAATATACTGTCTAGTACTGTTACAATAAAGTGAGAGTATGTGATACTTGCTTAGATAATTGAATGGTCTAATAAATGTTTTCATCATGACAGAAAAAGGCTGCTTTCAAGAAGTTTTTAAAGTAACTCCCTTCAAAATTGTGGCTTGTATTTCCCATTAGTGTACACTGCCATGGGGAACACTTTCTAGCTTAAAATTAGAGAGTCGTAAAGACAGTGATGATGGTCCCATTATGTGGGTACGTCCAGGAGAACAGATGATCCCTGTGGCTGACATGCCAAAGTCACCTTTCAAAAGGAAGAGGTATGTTCAATTATTTTGCTTGATAAATGTCTGGTTAGTATTCTTTCTCTACAAATTCATTTTATCCCAAACCTTTTACTGGTTGATACTATATTTTAGTATAAATTTATGTAAATCGTCATCTGAAAATACAATTTTAAGTTGTTTTGTTTTGTAAGGATGTGATTTTTTTTTTTAAATTGTTTACTATCTGACCAAGTAAGGTGCTGGTCCTTTTTGGAGCTTTAGTAGGAATTTAAGGTGAAAACTGCAGGGAAGTGTGAACAAGCATACAACTACTGATGTATGGCAGGAGACTGGAATTAATACCCCTGTTCCTAAATGTGAGTGGATGTTTAAAGACCTCAAGGAAAAAGGGCTTCTCTCTCATCTGAAAGGTCACACCTCCAACATTAAATGACATCTTTGCGCTTTGGTGTGGTACTGTGTGTAAGTACCAGCTTAAAAGTAGGGATGTCCTCTGCAGAACTTGAATATTATGCGTCATGACAAATGATGTCTTTGGAGTTTTCTTGTTCAAAACCTGGTCTAGTGGAGGGTGTCCCTGCCCATGGCAGGGGGGGTAGAATTAGATGGTCTTTGAGGTCCCTTCCAAACCATTCTGTGATTCCATGGAAATTCAAACATTAAAAGGGAGCACACAAGAAGTGGAAGTGGGGTCAGGTGCCTTAAAAGGAATATAGAGACACCATCCAACCATGAAGGGGATACAGTTAAAGCCAAAGACCATCTGGAGATGAATTTGGCAGGTGTTGTGAAGGGCAACAAGAAGGACTTCTACAGGCATATGGACAGCAGAAGAAAGACTAGGGAAAATGCAAGGTGTCTGCTGAATTGGGCAAAGATCCTGGAGACAAAGGACGCAGAAGAGGGCAAGATACTCGGTGCTTTCTTTGCCCTTAGTCTTTACTGCTGAGATTTTTCTTCAGTAAGGCCAGATCCTGGAGACAGTAGAAATGTCTAGAGCAAGGACTACCTGCCTTCAATGGAGGAGAATTGGGTTAAGGAACATATTAGACATACAGATTAGACAGACGCAAGCCCATGGGACCTGGTAAGATCTACCCACAAGTGCTGTGGGAGCTGGCCAGTATCATTGCAAGGCCACTCTTGATTGCCTTTGAAAGGTCATGGCAATTGGCAAAGGTTCCTGAGGACCGGAGGAAAGCAAATGTCACTCCAGTCATTTAGAAGGATAAGAAGCATTACCTGGGGAACTGCAGGCGACTCAGCCTCACCTTCATCCTGGGAAGGATGCCATTTCAAACAAGAGGGACAAGATGATCGTTGGGAGTAGCTAATATTGACTTACAAAGGGGAAGTCATGCCTTATCCACCTCATAGCATTCTACAACAAAATGACTGACTTACAGGATGAGAGGAGTGCTGGAGTGGTGTTTATCTTGAATTTAGCAAGGCTTTCCACACTGGACACCTGTCTCCCATAACATCCTAACAGACAAATTAATGAAGGACAAACTAGACTGATGGATGGTGAAGTGGTTCAAGAACTGGCTTAACTGCTATGCTCAAAGGGTTGTGATCAGCAGCACAAAGGCCAGCTGGAAAACAGTCAGGACTGAAGGCCTAGGCCTGAGCTTCAATAGAGCTCTGGGCTCTTTGTCTGGGTTCGTGGGTGGAGACTGCAGGTCAGGCTGCTCAGCCCTTAGGGCCTTTTAATGCACTCAGGACCCTGACTCTGTTGTGGTGATTTTTTAATTATTTTTTGTTTTATTTTTTATTGCAATAAAACAGCATAGAAAACTTGCATAGCTGATTACATTTTTAATTTGTCCGAAGTTACTGTTTTTCTCATTCGACTATATGTTCTCACTGAAGAGAGAGAAGCAATCCTATTGGCTATGGGTAGAAATTAGGTAATTAAGAGACATTTCTATACCACTAATATTGTTTATCTTCTACAGAACAACCAATGAAATAAAAAACTTGCAGTACCTACCTCGAACCAGTGAACCCCGTGAAATGCTATTTGAAGACCGGACACGAGCCCATGCAGATCACATAGGACAAGGTTTTGAACGACAGACTACAGCTGCTGTGGGAGTATTGAAGGCTGTGCACTGTGGAGAGTGGTATGTGCCGATTGCCTTATTCACCTATGCGTCTGAAAAATATTTGCCTGAATTTCTATTTATAATTGGTAGAAGGAGCACAGAATAGGTTAATCTAGTATTAGAGATTTAATGAAGACTGAGTAGATGCTGGAATTTTTTCCCTGTCTCTGTGCAGTAGATGTGTTGTCTGCCCTCTGCTAGATTGAGTACAGTTTTGCTGTGTGGTTGAAACCAGAAAGGTACCTTGCAATGACAGTTTAACAGCTACAAGTGAGTTGCTTATTGTTAGATGTAAAAACGCTTTACACTTTGTTTTGCTTTAAATAGTGCATATGGACTGACCTGAGTTTCTGCCTCAGAGGTGCACGTGAAGACCTTCTGGCAATTCTTTGTGTTGTCTGGAGAAGAGCAGAATTTTTATGCTTCTACTTGAAAATAATGGCTGTTACAACACTGATTTATTTATGGTAGATCAGAGGAGGCTGTGTGATTTACTTTTGGTGTCTCTTTCGAATTCCCATACAAGATTCAGGAAACAAACTTATCTTGTTTGAAGCTGTTTATATTTTAGCCAAATAAAATAGCCTCTAATCATGTGGGCTTCCTGGCCCAGATCGAAGAAGCATTTTTCAGGATCTTCTTACCTTGGTTTGGGAGTATGACCTTAGTTTTGGAGGTTACCTTTGCATATGTAAGCACTAAAAACACCTTTTGCTCTTTGTATCTGTCTAAAATTCAGAAGAGTGAATTCCCTTTTGGATGAAATGATGTAACTTGTGTTACAGTGCATGAGTTCGTTGAGATAGAAAATTGAATAATTGCCATTGGGGAAGAACTGGATTGTTCAGATGTTAATGTGTTTTTATTTTGGGCTCTGAGGTTTTGCAGTTTACTTCCTCTTCAGGTTGATGATAGCTGGAGCCTTAAACTTCCTACTTGCTCTGTGAGAAGCTGGAGTGAGTTAAGAGTGAGCAGTGGTAGCAGGGCAAGAGCTGAGATACTGTGTAGATCTGATTATTTTAAATTACGCTTTGCACATATGAGAGAGACAGACTCAAAGCTTTATCAAAGATGGAAAAAAAAAAAAAAAACAAACCCAACCCCAACCCAACAACCTCAAACAAACAAAAACCCCAAACAAAAACAACCCTCTACCCTCCAAACTTGCATGCCTGTGGAAATTAATAGGAATTTAAATTGATAGTAATCAAAATGTCTATGGGAACTTCCCATTCTCACCCTATACCTTCATAACAAGATCCTCCTCCCTTGGAAATCATTATGTTTTCTTTTACATTCTAAAAATAAGCTTTCTTGCTTTTCAGATCTAAACCATCATCTCCCATATGTTGGAACTTGTGGAAAAGGGTGTCTATTCAACCTCCATTAAAACTCCTTTTGAACTTGGAAACATGAATGGAATTGGTCAAAATAAAAACTGTATAGATAAAAAGTGATTTGAAAATAGGCAGAACAAGGCAAAACTGCCCAACAGACTTGAAATTACTTCAGTTTGAGGGAGGGGAAAAAGTAACTTATCAGCGTTTCACTTCAGTGTGAGGACTGGAAATGTAACTTCTAATGCAGAATAAGGAATTTGGGACTAACATACGTAGAGGAAGAAAATACGTAACACAATAAAAATGATGTATTTAAAGCTTCTTTTGACCTCAATGATTTTCTCCTTTCCCCTTCTGCTTTTTTGTATAATACTGAAAAGCCACTTCACTATACTTACATGAAGAGAACTAATCAGGGCTTATGATAATGAAGCATCATTAATGTAACACATTAAAATATTTTCAGATATTAGCTTTACCATAATTTGTAAGCTGTGGGTAGATTTATTTTAAAGGAAACAACATACATGGAAACGTTGAAAAATCTGTGGAGTTTTTGGTGGTTTTTTGGGGGTTTTTTAATCTATTTGAGTAGTTGAACAAAACTGAAAGTTGGAGATATTCCAGGGTTGATTAGGGCACTATAGCAGTAAAAATACGGGAATTTATTTAGTAGTTGATTGGCATGAGTGTTCATGTTAGGTGCGATAACTGGTGTCTTTCAGAACAGAGAGGAACAGCACCGTTGAAAGGCAAAAAGCAGCTTTTGGGGATAGAGGAGCAAACAAAACACAGTATTTAGAAGAACAAAAAGTAATTTTGCTTTCCCAAATATAATAGGCTCTTGACTTGAGATGTTTTGTAAAAACTAGTGGATTGTGATCTTTTTTATTTCTGTGAATATTTACAAATTGTAGAAGAGCTCTGGCTATTGCTAAGAAACATTTTAGAGACTGCACTGCATTGAAGTCTGGTAAATGCTGATGGCGTGATCACATTGATTACTTAATGCCATTTTTGTAGATGATACCAAGTGTCCTTTAGAACTTCAAAAATGCCAGTGAAATTTTAAATTATGTAAACTTTGAAGATTTTTATGTGGGAAATTTGAGTTGGTTTTTACAGGGACAGCAAAAGACACTTCCTGGTGGTGGTGTTGGCGAAATTAAACCCCTCTGACCCGTGCTTCAGCAAGCAGCTTTCAAATTTGTGTTACAGAGCATGAAGTTGTTGGTGCTTTTCTATATGATCATAGGAATTTGTTATATATTGCCAGACTTCGTGCATTAGGTCAGAAATATTCATGGTAAAATCTGTTGTCTTGAATCTGTTTTGAAATGTTACAGCAAAAAGAGTCCAGACCTTCTGAAGAATGAGGTTAAGGAAGAAAATTATGGCCAAAACCAATTCTAGCAGTGCTCTAATAGGGACTTAAATGGATTTTTCTGAAGTCATCTTATAGTTCTGTTTGGATTTAATGTGGTTTTGGACATCTAACTGAACTATCTTGTTACTATTTTGCTTGGGAAGGGAGGGACACCCCCCTAAACTGTAGGTTTTACAAAATATCATGTCCAAGCTTGCTAAATGTCAAATCTGCAAGTGCAGAATTAAAAATAATCTGGCAATAATTTTTCTCTATTGTGTTTGCAAAAGGAATGCCATGTTTTGTGATAGAATTGTAGCACAGATTTGATAATGCTTACTGTTGCACATGTATATAGGGGCTGAGAAAAGGAATGACTTAAAAAAAAAAATCATCAACTGTACTTTGTCCTGTATAATAAGTAAAACATAGAGTAGACACTGCTGTGAAAATACTGCTTTGGATTGAAGTTATTTTAGTATGCAAATATTCTTTGTATTTATTTTAATTATTATCTACATTTACAAATATTGTTAACTCCAGATGCTTAACTCTGTATTTTAAAAACATAAAAAAAACATAACTGCATTATAAAAAGTAGATTAATGTAGCTAATAATTTTTTTATGCCACTGATTAGAGATGTTTCTGTAAGCTTTTTTGCTTTCAGTGCTTAAATTCACTTCAGGAGAACATAGACCAAAATAGAGACACATATTTTAAACTTTGTAAAATTGAAAGTAAAATATGTGGTCTGAAAATTCACCCTAGCATACTTTCAGTGGTTGATTTGGGACCCTCCCACCCCAAATAGCCTCAAACTGGTTATTTTTTGCTTTATTGAGGTCATAACCTAAATAAAATAAACATGACTCATCAGTTTAAAAAGACCAATAAACTGTACATCACTGCCTGCTTCTTACAATGTTAATAACACGATATATATAGTTATATATATGTGATAAACAGCGCAGAGTCTAGTTGGAGGCCTGTAGCTAGGTGTGTGCCCCAGGGCTCAGTACTGGGTCCAGTCTTACTCAAGCCATCTGCGGGGAAGGTGTTGCACTCCTGTCAGCCCTGGGAGGACTCGGCAGAGGGTGAAGGAGGAAAGTCATCAATTAGGCTCTTTCCGGCTGATAATTTTTTTCTTGCAAAACCATTCCAGCGTGAGCTTTATCCTAGATAAATGAAATCTTTGTATCACCACATTTTTTTAAAAAATCTTTTAGAAACCGAACATCCCTTAAAACCAAACACATGGATCTTAGTTGTGTGTATATATATATGTTGAAGAACAGAATTTGGCTTTTAGATCAGACAGTGGTAAGGATTGTTGCTGGCTTTGCCTTTTGTTAGCTAACTCTAGGTAATGTCTCTAGAGGAGTTATATAAATGCTATGCTTTTCTTTGGGGGAGATCTTGTGGAACAAGAGTTGAATTCTAACAGTTTGAATATGGAGACAAACCCTAATTCAGATTTTGCTTTTCTGTAGCGCTCTAGTAAGCACAAAAAGGAATGTATTTTTAAGGGATGTTTTGTGGAGGATGCCAATGTTTGCTGCTTACTAGCATTGTGGCAGCTTAATGTAGATTCAGCTTTACTACTAACTGAACAAGGTGTTTGGAGGCTAAGATAGTAAGCAATGTTTTGCCATAATACTAGTCAGACTGCTGCATACTTTGAGGTGTGTGATGGGTGTATCATGTTAGAGTGTTGACAAAGTAAGCCCAGTGTATCTGGGGCATCTGTCAGCATCAAGGCAGAGGTCAATAAAAGCAAAAATAGTGAGTTTTGTTGACCTTTCATTGCTGCTCTTACTGCCACTTGTAAAGAAATTGTGGTAAATTCGTTTAACCAGTTTAATGAGGTTGTTTTTGAGAATTATCCATTTTAGTCAACCTTTTTTTCTTCAAAATACAGATTACGTTAGAATTTTTTGTTTATCATTAGCTTTATTCTTGCTTGCAGATTTTCTTTATTATTCTCTGTAGCATGTTAGTTTCAGCCTTTGACTGTGCAGTTCTTATTCTTCTGTAGGTCTGAGCAGCCTCGTATAACCAAAGATGTAATTTGTTTTCATGCTGAAGACTTCTTAGAGGTAGTTCAGCGAATGCAATTAGATTTGCATGAGCCTCCACTCTCACAGGTAAGCCTGCTATGAACTGTTGGTCAAGTGTCCTCTGAGTCCTAAATCAGGGGTTTCATCCTTTCCCCCCCTTTTTTTTCTCCAGTGTGTCCAGTGGGTTGATGACGCAAAACTTAATCAACTGCGAAGGGAAGGCATTCGATATGCCAGAATTCAGTTATTCGATAATGACATTTATTTTATCCCAAGGAATGTTGTGCACCAGTTTAAAACCGTTTCAGCTGTGTGCAGTTTAGCTTGGCACATCCGGCTCAAGCTATATCATTCAGAGGAAGAACTTTCTCAAAATACAAGTACTGTTGAAGCAGGGACCTCTGCAGACCCCAAGTCTTCGGTTGTTGGACTTCAGGCTGACAGCAGAATTTGTATGACGAGCAAAAATACCTCCGAAGACACCAAATTTTCGGATGCTCTGCAGACGAAGTATCTCCAGAAGGAATTTATGCCGGTAAAACATGAACTTATTGCATCTCACCGAATAAAAGAAGAACCTATGAATGTTGATCTGGCTGAAAAGACAGTGGCACCTAATGATGTCGGGGGCCAGAACGTTCAGACTAGATTGGATCACGTTGAATTGACGGCATTTAAGGTGGAAATGGATTCTAAATTTGAACCTGGCAACAAGGACTTACAAGGCAAGTTATGTCCTGGAGGTCACGTACATCTAGATGATACAAGACAACATGGTTCATCATATCCAAAACTGCATGGACAAAGAGAGGATGATTTTTTGTGCTAAGTTTGTATATATGGTTTTAAATTCCTTTTTAAACTTAATGATGTAATAATGTAAAGATTCATAAATTCTGTGAGGCAAGTTTGTGACTTGCCGTCGCATCTGTTACAGAAAATAGTTATGTAGCTTTGTAACATTCCTCAGTGCCTGTCCATAACTGTGAAGTATCAAAGCACTTAGGGCCAGATGCACTGTAAACACTGCAGGTTTAACATAAAGAAGTCTTTAAATAATTTTGAGTTGTAGGTTTTAGAGTAGAGCTGACATTTAACATATATATTTTTTGTAAGATGAGCCAGAATTCTTTTTGACAATTCCAGGCTTTTCCATAGAGCTTATTTATACCAATTTTTTCATTTTAAATGTGTCAGCACTGTAGTGTAAATATCTTTTTTAAAAAATCTTTTTAGTGTGATTTATACTGAAATGTGAGCCGCTTAATAAAGGTTCATAATAACAGATTGGTTTTATTTTTGGGTCTGCAAAAAATAATTCAGTTAAACTGCCTCTCTAAATGGTTATGTTTCTACCTGCACTAATGCATAGGATGCCCTTACGCCGTTGTGGGGTGAGGAGCTGTAGCAAACCAAGGTAGAGCGGAGGCATTCTTTGTAAATTTGAGATTAGTCAGAATGCAAAATCAGTTGTCCCTTGCTCATTAAAGGCACTCCCCAAATTCTGCTGTCAGATGCTAATGTGGAGCAGAGAGGCAAACCTTCCCCTGTTGTGGAGGACAGCCGGACACCCCGTGGGCTCCAGGAGCACTACCAGTAACTGTGCATCTCTCTAGACGAGCTGGTGCAAGGGAGCAAACTCCTTTCCTTCTCTCTTCCCTCTGCTCAAGCCACAGTTAAGACAGTTCCATTTCACATTAAAAAACCAAACCAAGCAACCACCCCCCTCAACTTAATCAGTTTTCTGACTAAAATTAAAACAAAAACTATTTAAATGGTTACTTATCAAGCTATAAAGGCCTCAACTTTAGCAGTGACCTGTAATTCATGGAGATGCATTTGGATTTGAATTGCTCCCTATGCTGATAGTGCCAGGCAATAAAGATACTTGCCAATGTGTCTAGTAGGAAGATTCCTCAGGAGTCCCAGTTTGGAAGCAAGAATTGTTTCATTAAGAAAGTAAGTGTTGTCCAAGTTAACTGTTCTCCTCTCTCCCCACCTATGGAATGCTTGAATTCTCTTAAGCTGTGTTCAGAGGGAAGAGGATTTTGAGGCTAGCTAGCATCTGATGTGGTAATGGCAAAAACTCTGTCATTTAACTTATTTAATTCTTTGTGTAACATATTACTGTATAGTTCAAACACATCTGAATGATGTTTCTTTTTCAGGTAGCTACAAATAGGAGTAAACTGCCCTATAGCCTGTCCTTCAACTAAGTATTTGAAACTTAAGATCCTAGGCCTGTTATTTCCAAAGCCCTCTATATCTCTGATTTTTTTTTTGATATTTTTTCCCTGTAACTTTCTGAAAGTTGTACATCCTTACATACCCAGTTTATAACCTTTGATGCATAGCAATCACTTTGGCTTCATTTGTAGCAATAGAACAATGTGATTTCCAGGTGATACCTAATTCAACTACCTGAGGCCCTTTTGTTGCAAACATTTTTTTGCTTATAGGTTGTTAAAACTCACAATGTTGCTGCATATTTGCGCTTGGCAATAAAATCAGCCATTTAATGGATGAGTGCCCTGATTTGTTTAAATCTAAAATAGGCCTGTCAAAGAATTATTAATTAAATCAGTATTTGAATTGCTAAACATTACTCCTACATAGCCATAATTAAATAATATAGAAGCAATAGAAACATGAATCTCTTGGATGTGACTAATATGTCCTTAAACTTACTGCTGTTTTCTTTAATGCTGGCTAAGAGATTACTACCAGTTTTGCAGCCTCAGGGATCTTGATTTCCCCTCACGCCATGAGCAAATGATTTATGTGTGACATGGTAAGTTACTACTCTAGCAGATTCTGATTTGAAAAACTAACTGGTTCACATAAGAATTTGAGCTTTCCTGATAGAAATGTGGTCTCAGCTCCCTTTGTGTTTTCTGGATTATCTGGAAGCTTTATCAAAACCAGCCTTGCCAGATATTAGTTTTTAAATTTAATTTACTAAAAAACAAAAAAAAAATCTTATTTGCATGCTGTTGATTTGTATGCTGATCATTCATTCTGGTTCAAATATTTTTTTTTAAATGTCAGATTTTAGTAAAGTGTATACATCCCCCATGACAGCTAACAACTTTCTACATCATAGGCCCTGTCCAGACTGGGGTGGTGGTGGTGGAAATAGTCTTTGAAAAATGGTTTAGCAAACACAACTTTACACTTAAGAGTAGAACTTCGTTTCCTTTTGAAGACCTGCTCAGTGGTCTTGGCCTCAGACTTCTGCTCAGGTATGTCTTGGTTCAGAAATTTTGCTTCTAAACTGCCTACATCTTCAGCCCATTTTTTTTTAATCACTCCCAGAATTCTAAGAAATTTTTAAAAAGTGGCAGTTTTTGCAATTTTTATGCATCTATTTTTGAGACAGACTAGTTTCTCATTTTTAGAATCCCTTGCAGACAGAATATGAACAATACTGGGATTAGCAACGGCTGTCAGAACTGCCTTTGTATTCAAAAGTGTAATCAGTCTGGGCTGACTGGCTATATTAGTGTAACAACTTAGTTTGCTTTTCAAAAAAAAAAAAAATTTTGTCCTCTACCTGTGGCATATTTATTTTGATGCAGTTCTTTAAGAGGGGAGAACCTCTTCTGAGAATTTAAGCTCCCAAATTGTTCATTAGTCTGACAGAAGTCTTGCTTTGGTTTCAAGTAGTCTTGTGCTATGTCCTTCAT